TGTGTATATATATGTATGTATGTATATATATATATATATATATATATATATTAAAGACCAACATGAACTTTACTTGCAAGTCAGGACAGTGAAATAATTACATATATAAATAGCATGTTGTATGTCTCACTCACTCATACCTGTGCAGGCTAACCAAGAACCATGTGTGCACAAAGTTACATTTCATATCAGACTTGTTGCCATGGGGAAACTGTACAAACAACTTGGCCTTTGCAATGTAGAGCAAATGTACAGGTGAAACTCGAATAATTAGAATATCGTGCAAAGTTCATTTATTTCACTAATGCAACTTAAAAGGTGAAACTAATATATGAGATAGACTCATTACATGCAAAGCAAGATAATTCAAGCCGTGATTTGTCATCATTGTGATGATTATGGCTTACAGCTCATGAAAACCCCAAGAACCCCAAATCCACAACCTCAAAAAAGTAGATTATTACATGCAATCAATAAAACAAGGATTGTACATAGAACAATATCGGACCTCTGAAAAGTACAAACATGCATATGTACTCAGTACTTGGTTTGGGCCCCTTTTGCAGCACTTACTGCAATTACTTTTGCACGATATTCTAATTATTCGAGTTTCACGTGTATACTTAGGGGTGCATTTACAAAAGGTTTTGAAAACCGTTTGTTCTGAAAAACTAACATTTACATATGTTCTGTGCAAATAGGGCAAAAAAAATGTTTTCTTGCGCAGAATGAATTTAGTTGTCAGAAAATACTGCATTATGGCCACTAGATGGAGCTGAGCCTCATAGGAAATCCCGTATATACTCTAGTATAAGCCGTCCCGAATATAAGCCGAGGTACCTAATTTTACCAAAAAAAACTGGGAAAAAGTATTGACCCGAATATAAGCCGAGGGTGGGAAATGAGGCAACTACTGGTAGATAGATACCAATAAAATTACATTAATGAGCAGCAGTGACGCGACGCTCGGCGAGGTAAGTAAGATGACGCGCTGGCGCTGACTCGAGTATAAGCCGAGGGGGGCACTTTTCACCCAAAAAAATGGGCTGAAAATCTCGGCTTATACTCGAGTATATACGGTAAGTATTTATTTTCCTATGCGCCTCAGCTCCATCTAGTATCCATAATATGGTATTTTCTGACATTTATATTGCACCTCACTTCCTCTTTTGGGGACAATCTTTTACTAGACAGGAAGTGAGAGAAACAGACCTCAATAAAAAAAAAGCTGACAGAAGTTTTAGCTTAAATAAAGAATGTTACCTCTATCCATGTAGAAATTAGGCTACATACACATTATGCGTGATTAGATGCATTTATATATGTCTAAAAAGCTTTTCTAAATGCATCTATATGCATTTAATGATTTCCAATGGATCTATTTACACATTGCATGTAGATGCTTTTATCTGCAGTCAGTTTAGTTCTGTTTAGAAAAAATAGAAGTCAGATGCATCTAGGAATTGATTTGAATTTCTAAACACACCAAAATGCATGTAAATGCATGTAAACATGTGTAAAAACATGTGTTAACACGTATACATGTGATGCTAGGATTTGATACCAGATGCATCTGAACACAAATGCATGTACACACATGTAAACGTGTGTCATTTATCACATCTAGAAGCATAATCACAGCTTCCAGCCTGACAGATTTTTCTCTTTATATAGAGGGCAAATATGCAAGTTACAAGTGTGAATGTAGCCTACAGTGAATTCTCCTCACTTCCTGTCCAGGTGAGAACCTTTTCAACAGCCAGGAAATAAAGGGATCTCTCCAATGGAGTCTCTCACAGCAGTAAAACCTGACAGGAGTCTTAAGTCCTTACCGACAGTGGCGTAACAACCGGGGGGGGCAGCAGGGGCGCGGGCCCCGGGCGAAAAGTGAAGGGGGGGCGCCGGCCGAAAATGGCACTTTCGGCTAAATGCCGAAAGTGACATAATTAATAAATAAAAATTAATTTAAAAAAATGAAAAAGTTTCTAAAAAAATAAAATATTAAAATTTGAAAAATTAAAATAAAAACGTGTGTGTGGGGGGAAGTGCAGGGTACAGTTCCAGTGGTTGTTTATGTAATGGGGGGGGGGGGAAAAAAAATTCTGCCCCGGGCGCCCAGAACTCTGGTTACGCCACTGCTTACCGACTCTATACAAAACTAGAAGAAAAAGTTTTAGTTATAGATACATTTACAAAAAGTAAAAAGTAATCTCTCAACACTGATGTTTTTTTCTAATTATAGGTATGTGCTGGTTTGTGAAAACACTTGTTAGCTCCTTTAAGCTTTTGGGATTTATCCACTGAAGAGCTCTGCCCCCCACTGCATCTCACTTTTGATGTCGCAGCAAGTGGAGTCCTTATTGTTCTGCAGCAATATCTCTATTATTCATGAGGAAAATGAAAGAGATATGTGAGACCTCTTGTTATGGCCATGATGATGGGAAATTGTGTGCAAAGATGTTTCCGCCAGAGTCCCCAAGAGACGTTTAACTGAGGGAGGGGGAAGGGATTCAATCTGATTATATCTATTCAGAAATCATATTATCGGTTTTGACTAAACTGACCAAAAGTGTGAAGAGTGGATTTCCCTCAGTATGGCACCCGGAGACAAAAAGTGTACAGAATGTACTTATACATCAAATTCCATGCTTATGTTATTTGCTTGCTTCCAGATTGCTGCACACGGTGTAGAGCCAAGTGGCAGCCATGTCCTACAATAGCAGTGTTATTTTTATACTTCTGTTATTTTCCTATTACAACACTGAGACTGCTCAGGATGTGATATTAAAGCCAGATGCTCACTTATGCACGCATCCCAACTCTACCGGGCGCTCCGGGAGTCTCCCGCTATTAGATAGCGGCTCCCGGCCGCCGGGAGAGAAACATTTTCTCCTGGAGAGGTTTACTCTGCTATCTAGCAAAGTAAACCTTTCCCTGCAATCTTTTTTTTTTTTCTGGCATTGGGGCCGCCGTCAGTCAGAGAAAAAAAAAACAGCATAGGAATGCATATCTAGATTGCTATTGGCTATTTCACTTTGCAATATCCAATAGCAGACTAGCTATTGCACCCGCCCACTGCTGCTGTCAATCAGCAGAAGGGGACCTGAAGTTCTCTATCAGGCCCTCTTCTAGTGATTGACAGCAACAGAGGGCGGGTGCAAAAGCCAGCTTGCTATTGGATATTGCAAATCGAAATAGCCAATAGCAATCTAGCTATGCATTCCTATGCTCTTTTTTTATTATTCTGACGGAAGCAGCTGTCAGAATACAAAAAAAACCCAGCAGATAGCAAACAAGACATTGCTTCCCGTGCTGTCTGCCATCATTTCAGGGGGGTGCTCTCCCCCCCCGCAGATGGGGGGGGCAGCCTGAAATGAGAAGGGCACCTCCCTGAAATTGCTTTCTTCAGGTTGGGATCCCAGCTTATGAGAAAGGAAATAGTAAGGTTTACATAAAGTTCTTCAGCAGAGAAGCAGGTAAACATCTGCAATACATTTTACAATGTATGCAGTTAACTTGGTGAGCTTTGCTCTCAACTGATGTTTTTCTTTGAGTTATGCCTATTGGAAGCATATTTGCCATAACACAATTGTTAATCAGTCTTTATATTTACAGGCTAGCATACTTGTATTGCATTGGAATTCATAGCTGTGTATAAAGATAAGCCATGCTTGTCATGTTAAACAACAACTTGTTGTTAGCTAACAGACGTTCCCCCAAAGCCCTATAGGCTGGAGGCAGCACCAAATCATAAGTAAGGTGGGCCCTAGGCAGGGCATTGGGCAGACTATGCAACTTGAATTTTGTTCCTGCCTGAATCTGAATAAAGTTGGTTTTAAGCCAGGGGTGGGCAACTTTGACCCTCCAGCTGTTGTGGAAATACAAGTTCCATAAAGCACTGCAAGATTCTGGCAGTTACAGACATGACTCCCAGAGGCAGAAGCATGATGGGATTTGTAGTTAAAGCATAGCTGGGGGATCGGAGTTGCCCATTCCTATTTTAAACAGTGATCCTTTGGTGTGCAGCTTTTTATTTACTACAAAGGTTTGAAGCAGAGCAAAGACGCTCTCTATGGCTGGCATCCGATCCGTGTCTCCTTCTGCTCTGCAGCAGCTGGACTCCAGGACGGAGTGGTGTTTCCTCTGTCTTTCTCTGAATGTTGTTGGTTGAAAACAATACGGCCTTATCAGGCAATCTGCAACACCCACTCCTATTGTTACTGAGGGCAAAAATCAGCATTAATGGCTGCCATTCCTGCTCCTGGTTTTCTGAAAAGTTGTAGGCAATTGAATTACTCCTAGGGGCAATGTACCTTTAACTACTATTGTACATAATAGTTAGGGCATTTATAAAGCTGCGGCCTCGCCTTACTACAATCGTACCGCTGCTTAAACAAAATTATTTTTTAAATGCACATTCTTGACCCCATCTTTTATATTTTACCAAAAAAGTGGGTAATATTAGTTGTTTTATAGCATAATGTAAAAAAAAACTTTTTTTTCTCAAAATTTTCAGTAATTTCTCCTGAATATAGTAAAAAATAAAACCCGCAGTGGTGATTAAATACCACCAAAAGAAAGCTCTATCTGTCCCCAAAAAATGGTATAAAATTCATTTCAGTACAGCGTTGCGTGACGGAATAAATGTCAGTACCGCAGCGCTGAACACTGAAAAATGGCCTGGCCAGGTAGGGGATCTAAACACCTGGTCTTCAAGCAGTTAATATAAAATAATAGCGCAGTGCTGTGCGCTTTACAAATCTGCATTACATTCCGCATGCTTCGGAAGTCTGAAGCAAGTGGAGCAGCATTCATGCCAATGAATGAAAAAGAAAAAAAAGTCTGGAGGAGACACTTATCACGTGACCTGCCATGTGACCAGCCTCTCCTCCAATCATACAGGAGTGACACCTCAGTGGAATATGGCTAGGCCTGCATTTTATGAATGCATGCTGTGTGGTGTAAACACAAAGCAAACATCTTAACTCTCCTGGATGTTCCGGGAGTCTACCGCTATTAGATTGTGGCTCCCGGACAACCGGGAGAGAAACAGTTTCTCCCTGAAAGGCTTACTCTGTTTTATCTAGCAAAAGTAAACCTTTCTCTTCTCTGTTTTTTTTTTCTTGACATCGGGGCCGCTGTCAGTCAGGAAAAAAAACAAAAAACGACATAGGAACGAATAGCTAGATTGCTATTGCAAATTGACATAGCCAATAGCAGACTAGCTATTGCACCTGCCCACTGTTGCTGTCAATCAGCAGAGGTGGACCTGAAGTTCTCCATCCACCTTTAGGCCCCGTTCACATATAGCGACATACCTTTTGCAGCGGATCCGCACGGCCGGGATAGCGCGACTTTCGGGGCGACATTCCAGCGACGATCCAGCGACGGTAGCGCGACCTTCCCCGTCGGGCTCCATAGAAAAAAAGTAAAATTGCGCAAAATCCGCCGAAAAAAGGGTCCGGTAGAAGCGACTTGCGACCGCGACGAGCGACGAGCGACGCGCGACATGGAGTTAAGACAGCTCCATTGAATAACATTGGCCGGCGACTTCTCGCGATATCGCGCGGCAAAAATGCGCGATATCGCGGCGGAAATCGCGCGACAATTCGCTATATGTGAACGGGGCCTTACTGACTGGCAGCAGCAGAGGGTGGGTGTGATAGCCAGCTTGCTATTGGCTATTGCAAATTGAAATAGCCAATAGCAATCTAGCTATTCATTCCTATGCTTTTTTTTTATTCTGATGGCAGCAGCTGTCAGAATACAAATTAAACAGCAGATAGCAAGGGAAGCATTAGCTTCTTTTCTATCTGCCATTATTTAAGGGGGGTGCTCTCTTCCTTGTTGTTGCACAGAGGGTTCCTCCCTGAAATGAGAAGGGCACCTCCCTAAAATGACTTATTTAAAGTATCAGACGTTATTGAGGAAAAATCTGGAGCAGTTTCCTATAGCAACCAATCAGTCTCTAGCTTTCATTGTCAAAGCATAACTGAGCTAACTGAAGAGAGAAGCTGATTGGTTACTATGGACAACTGTTCCTTATCTGTCTGCTCCAGTTTTGATAAATTCCCCCAATGTACAGTATTTGGCTGGACATACATTTTGAAGTATGTCTAAGAATGTTTTATTTATTTTGGATAGTGTGTGTATGTGTCCAAATCACTGTCAAGGTTTAGGCTCACTCACACGGTTGTTCATGGTCATACACAGTGATCAGTGCTTTTTATTGTGTGGGCAAAGCCAGGGGTTCACGTTCAGCTAAAGCACAGCAGCTTACAGGTGAAACTCGAATAATTAGAATATCGTGCAAAGTTCATTTATTTCACTAATGCAACTTAAAAGGTGAAACTAATATATGAGATAGACTCATTACATGCAAAGCAAGATCATTCAAGCCGTGATTTGTCATCATTGTGATGATTATGGCTTACAGCTCATGAAAACCCCAAGAACCCCAAATCCACAACCTCAAAAAAGTAGATTATTACATGCAATCAATAAAACAAGGATTGTACATAGAACAATATCGGACCTCTGAAAAGTACAAGCATGCATATGTACTCAGTACTTGGTTTGGGCCCCTTTTGCAGCACTTACTGCAATTACTTTTGCACGATATTCTAATTATTCGAGTTTCACGTGTAGTCTGTCACAAATCAATGACGCGCTGTGAGGCATTGCTGTGCTCGGCATGTACTCACACAAGGAGCAAATCCCTGCAGGTAGGGACAGATGAACAGCCCTGGATGCAAACTAACTGGGTGGAATTTCTCAAAGCTGGAGCAGACAGAATCTGGAGCAGTTGCCCATAGTAACCAATCAGCTTCCCTCTTCAGTTTGTTCAGTTAAGATTTGAAAATGAAAGAGTAAGGCTGATTGGTTGTCATGCGTGGCTGCTCCAGTTTTTGTCTGCTCCAGTTTTGATAAATTCCCTTCACTGTGTACAGCACCACTCATCTGTCCCTAGCCACATGTAATCACTCCTTGAGCAATTACATGTGAACAGGTGCGGAGAGTGTCAGTCTGTCATTGTCATTTGTCATTTACAGACTTCCTATCCACAGCTAACACCAGGCCGTTCCCACTGCAGAAATATGCTGACCTGGGAGGTGTGTGATCACGAATGGCCCTGTGAATGAGCCCTTTTCATTGCTATACGTTTTCCCACAGGGGAGATTCCCCCTCTTTGACTGTCACGGTAACCATTGTCACCCCACTTTGGTGACAATGGGACAAGAAGTGACATTTTTTTTTTACAATGTCAGTCAGATAGCAAACCTACATCTATAGCGATTTAAAGTACTCCAGGAATTGTTTTTAATTAACCCTTGAAGTGGGGCTACCCCTGACCTGTAAGGGTTAATTGCTATTTTTGGTCTAGGACTGAAAATAACATAATTATACCCGATCCTTAAAACCGGCTTGCTCTCAGACCGGTCCCTGGAGCATCTCTCCCCCTCTGCTGCAGCGGTCTAAGGTCCCTCAGTCATCATTTTCTATACATTGAGGGAAATTTATCAAAACTGGAGCCGATAAAATCTGGAGCAGCTGTGCATGGCAACCAATCAGCTTCTCTGTTTCATTTTCAAATCTTAACTGAACAAACTGAAGAGAGAAGCTGATTGGTTGCAATGCACAGCTGCTCCAGTTTTTGTTTGCTCCGGTTTTGATACATTCCCCCCACAGTGCATAGGACAAAAGGAAACCAAGGGACATTACATTGCTGCAGCGGAGGAGAAGACAGGCTGCAGGGTCCGTTGTCACAGCCCTAGACCAAAACAAGCAGTTAACCCTTGAAGTGCAGGGGGAAACCCACCGCATGGATTAATACAAAAATGACCCAGAGTTCTTCTAAGAGAAGGACACATAAAACAGGTGACTGCAGGACCTCAGGAACATAGGAGAAGGACACATAAAACAGGTGACTGCAGGACCTCAGGAACATAGGAGAAGGACACATAAAACAGGTGACTGCAGGACTCAGGTACATAGGAGAAGCACACATAAAACAGGTGACTGCAGGACCTCAGCTACATAGGAGAAGAAACATGTCACATGCCACACAAGAAGTCCATCTGCAGTAATTCTGCTAATACGTCTAAGTATCCGTGGCTGACCTTCACCCTCCATTACCAGAAGGACATTAGAAATCAGTCAAAATGATACTTTGTATAATCCACCGTCACAGAGGACAAGCCACCAAACACAGCACCATCATCTACAACATATAGGTTCCATACACAGGGCTGCATTTTGTGCACAGCTGTATCTACAGTTTCCTCATGGCACCATTTACAAAGTTCATTAGCCTGTACACCATTTACAAAGTTCATTAGCCTGTTTCATGAGCCTGTACAGGCACACTGGACCAAGGCAAGTTCGTACATTTATTTACAACCATGATTATTTTACTATCCTGCCTTACAACATTTGTCAGGTGTGCTCTTAAATGAGTCTCCTTATTACAAGAAGAACACATTCCAGAGATTTATGAAGACTGTCAGGAAATACAACTGCAAAAACAATAGTACATAAATTGCAAGCAGCAAGTTATTGAGCTCCCTGAAATGTTAATGTGGCCTGGCGTCTATTAGGTAGCATCCGTTGGCAAAAGAAAGGTCATTTATGACTGGTGTGTGCGATTATGGTCACCCAAACCTCTGAAGGGAACCGGTTAAACAAGACATGGGAAACATAATAAAATTCAAATCAATGGTGGTACCTTTTTAACAAGTGTATTGGGAAATATCTGCTTTGACATATTAATCTACATGTCAGCACTTGTGCAATAAGATGCCATAACTCAGCACTAACATTGTCATTTATCATGACCGGTGCTAGTCATATCAGTTAAAAAGATAAGGCTTGTGCATTCAAATCGATCTGTAGAAAATGTGAACTCTTCATAGTTGAGATAAACTAGACGGTCTTTCCTCTGCGCGCTTCGGCAGCCACAGAACAGTTTTGAAATGTTGTACGTTAACCCTTTGCAAAAATAAAACAATATACATCGTATAACCCATCTCCTCCCCGCCCCCACGTGCACGCACACACACCAAAGCCACAGATGCAGAGCTTCCTACATAAGAAAATAAAACAAAATTTAAGCCAAAAAAGTATCTCCTTTAATATAAAATTTCCATTCTCAAAGAATAAATTTATTTCCACTGAATAAATAGATATCCGCACCATCCAGGGGTGGGAAATGTTCCTTTTGTTGAAGCAAAGACTTTCTTGATTTTCTCTCTGTTTCATGTTTTTCTTGTTTTTTGTTATATTTGTTTGTTTTGTATTTTTTTTAACAAAATATATAAACATAATGTTTGCATCATACTTTGCTATGGATTATGAGCACTCCGTTTAAAATGTATACAGCACCAGCAACACTAGGGATTGCACGCAAACGTGTTATTGTAAAAGAAATACGGTGATGTGATGCATGCCTGGAGTTCATGGGCTTCTATTCTTATAAGGAGTGTTTTGCCTTGCACTTTGATTTTATTTTCAAAATATGCGCATGCTGTCTATTTATAGTAGTGTTGAACGCAGTCATATGCAATATACAGTGGATATTGGATTTCTTTTAGAACGTAACAAACAGATATGATGTTAAGCATGTAAAATCCAGCCTTTGGATCAAATAGAATTAGTTCAACTGGATCATTTTAAATCAATCTATTGTTTAATGGGGACAGAAGTCATCTCAACAGAACACGTTACAACATGCTATAGATGGGCAACCTTCAGCACTGCAGCTGTCAATTAAGGAAAACTCCCATAATACTCAGAAGTGAAGCCAAGCGATGATGGACACAGTGGGAGATGTCACGGAACTACCCATCCCATGATGCTCAAGAGTGAAGTCAAGGGGTGATGTAGTTTAATGCAGCAGGAGTACTACTGGCAGTCCATCTCTGAATTCCAATTTTGTGAAAGCAGCAGCGTGCTGCCCTATAGTGATAGGTCTTGTCTGTTTTTTAGCAGCTAAAATCAATTGCAGCTAGAGGCTATCATTTAAACGTGTGCAAATGAGTGATTGATCTATATTCCACATTACCATATGCCCTTAAAGGTGACATATTTTACCATAAAGGGTGATGAACTGTGTAAACTACAGACAAGGAGGGCTGTGAGCAAAAAAAAAAAAAGAAAAAAGAACAAATGGCAATGTACTTTCTAGAGCATATATGCACAGAGGTAGCTACAATATATATGAATCTACGTATACATGTAACTATCTACATGCATATAGACAAACAACACCGATAAACAGAACAATAGTAGCTTATAATAATAAATCAATAGTACAGATGATCATGCAGCAAAACCAAAACTTGACAAGCTATGCTTTTTTTTCACATTCTCTTTAAAATTCCAATGTTCATGTAAGGCATCAGTGACATCTGACAGTTTACATTCAATGTACAGTAATGATTTCATTAGGGATTTAAATTAGTCAGGAAATGAAGCAAAGGAGAACACATTCGGGAACGGCTGCAGCAGACGAATAACACACAGCTCTAAAGCCAAGAACCAGGTGCCTGTGCCTAACATACAATATTTAGACTATAAGCTCCCCCTGCTGTTCAATGTTATGAATGCAAACTCATTTAAACCACCAGCTAGCAGCTTTAACAACCAACCAGTCTTGAATTAGATTTTCTTTGGGTTCACTCAAGGTTTGATAGTGCCCTTTTCAAATATATTTCTATAAATAGACTCTCTATTAGGATATACAATGTGCAATTATTAGAGTGTATGCTTTGAAGATATATAACCAATTAGGCATTTTATACAGATAGGCTGGGCAACTTTTCATCCTCAAATAGGTCGGAATGCACTGTAGTGATCCCTGGATAATTGACTAAAGGGGATACAATGCGCCTCTCATTTTTCAAGCTGGACAAATAAATTAAATGGCTCTACTGCTAAGTAATAATTTACTTCCAATTCTTGCAGTATTGAATCCAGTGTTGTCCAGAGGATTGTTACATTATTAATTCCTTTACTACAGAGGAATCTGCAAAATGCTCTGTAAAGTACTACTGATTCCAAGAATTGCAAAGCTATATCAAAGCGTGTGTCATCTTTTTTTTTTTTTTTTACCTCTAACCATAGCACTGTGTGCAGTGAAATAGTGATCAATGTTAGTCAGCATGGTAACTCAGTTGTTTTTTTTGGCTGATGTACATAAGGCTGGGCATAGCTAAATCAGATCTTCAAGCTTTTTATCTGTATATATCTGTATATGTATGTATTGTTTTAAATTATTTTATTAGGAAAGCTATACCAGACGCATAATCACTATACATTGATTAAACATTACCTTTACAATTAATATTCACTGAAATTACAGAATAAATATATGCACATTTTGTAAAATCTTTGTGTATGGGGTAGGCTAAGGAGTAAGAGGAGGGGGGAGAAGACATTAAAAGTGCTTCCTACAAAGCTGTTAGTGATACGTACCCAGTAGCATTGCTAAAGAAATTGTAAGGAGCTGCAAAAAAATAACATCCTGGCATATTCATGAATTCACAAAGATGTTGATCCCTAGCTGTCTTGTGTACAATACTTCCTGCTTTGCCAAAAAAAAGGAAATAAATCAAATATACATTGAACTCATTGAATCATGATACTTTGCAGTGAATCCATGTGTTTGGATGTTGAATTGTTGTTGGTAGAAAGAAAATGGATGAGCATTAGTGTTTTGGGTGAGAACATTCGAGCATTAACCCCCCTGCAGTTTTTTTTTTCAGGCATGCAGCAAACTGCATTAGGTTTAAGTTACTGCCAAAAAAGGACACGTGGAATTATTTTTATCAGGATCAGTACAAATATCCCCCATACCTTACATGGCACAGTCAAGTTTCTTAGATTCCTATATAAAAAATAATGATTGATAACATTGCTGGCAAAAGTCTGCGAAGGCACTTCAATTAATTACGATTAGAGTATGGCCCTTCCTCCAAAACAATTTGGGGAGCACAACGGTATTATCTTGAATCATGCGTTTGTTTTGTTTTTTTGGGCGCTATGAAATTATGCTATATTAGAATCTATATGTGTTTTTTTCCAGGACTTCGAGGTAATCCGGCTTGGTTTGGAGTTTGGCCCTTAACTCGAGGTATTCACTTTGAGTTTGGTCTGAAAACCCCTTCCCAGCTGAGAAAAGTAGGGTTTCTTTTAATCTGGCATCCTGTTGTAAATCTGGGTATTGCATGCCAGGTGGGTGGACGTGCAGTTCCTTTAATTTAGGTACTGTGCCATAAATGCAGTCCACAAAGCCCACCGTTGGTGCTGGCCGTTCTCGGTCAATTACTCCAGGAAAGATGACCCCATTTTCATGAAAACTTGGTACTTCCCCACTCTGATTGACAGTAACTATAGTATTTAGCTGGGAGTTTGACACTGCCATGGTCCACTCTTTTTCTTTTTCTATTAAGGTCCTGTAATTTGTGTTATTTTCCTTTGTTTCTGAAAATTCCTCTCCCATTTCTTCTTCTCTGGGTTTGTAGATGGGATTGTTGCACATCTGGGTTACAGGATGAGGAATGTAATCATAGACATGCCCAGGAGCTTTCTCTGGGGAGTTGTTTGGTCTATCCTCAAAGATTCTACACTGCATTTGAATGCCCGTCAAATCCACCTCTTGTCTCTTTCTGAAAGGCAGCTTCTTGCGCCTTCTCAGCACAAAAGCAAAGAGGCCTGCAGCCACAAAAACAGCTGAGAAAAACAAGATTAGTAGACTGAGAATGAGGACAGATAGTGGAATGGCACCCCCTGGTGTGGTAAGCTCAAACACTGAGGAGCTTGGTGGCACCATCTTTCCAGGCAAAGACGGTGAAGTAGCATGTAGCATCTCTGGACACAAAATTTCCATTTCGATAGATTTTAGATCCTTGTGTGTCAGGTTCTCAGGGCTTGTGCACAACACCTCCCCGACAACAATTACAGAGCTGATGGTGTCTATCCATTGCTTTAGAGGGACAATGTCACAGGTGCAATCCCATTGGTTTTGTTTAAGATCAATCTGCACAATTGCATTAAGGTGCTCCAGGACTCCTGCAACAGGAAGGTATAGAAAATGGTTGTTTCTAAGATTCAGCCTTGCCAGAGACGTGCCTGCAAAAGCATCAGTTGGGAGTGTTCTCAACAGATTGTCATTGAGAAACAACAACTTCAGATTTGGCATCAGGCTGAAAGCAGCAGGCTGGATTTCCCTTATCATGTTATACTCAAAATATAAATAATTCAAACTCTGTAAACCCCTGAACATGCCAGGTGTCAGCCTCTCAATGTCATTCCCATTTAAATACAAGCTTTTTAAATTTGGGAGATTGATAAAAGCTCCTTCCTGAACATAAGATATTCTGTTGTTTCCAAGGTGTAATAAATCCAGTGAAGAAAAATTCCAAAAATCAGACCGGTAGATTTTCTGTATTAGATTACCACTCAAGTAAAGTTTTTTAGCATTGAGAGGTCTAGGCAGCAGTTCTGATATATTATGAAACCCTTTCTCTTTACAGTTTACAGTCAATCCCAGATCATTGATATGCAAACTGCATGAACATCCAGTTGGGCAGATGATTGGAATAGGTGGTCTAGTCTGGTACCCAGATATTGGTGGTTGGTTTGGACCTGGGTAAAGGCCTCTGGGTGTCGGTGGAGGCTTTGGAGGCCTAGGTTGCTTGGTGGTGGTGGGTTGCTTATTTGATGTCTTGTACTCCACAGAAGAAGCAGTAACATGAAAAGATGATAACATAGAGGAAGGTTTAGTAGGCCATGAATTCTCTTTGCTCGATTGTAACTGGGGAATCCCCAAGCTTGCTTCCACCTCACTTTCAGACAACAACGGGCAAAGTTTACTTCGCTTGATATCTCTTAAATCCTTGCCATGAAAGTGAAAGGGACTTTCACATGTAATATCCCCAACCAGAACAGTATAAGGAATACGTTCAAGCCAGGTTTTCAACTGCACAATCTCACAGGTACAGTTCCAAGGATTCTCAGCTAACTGTATCTCCATAATGCTTCTCCCTATGTGATCCAGCATCCCTCTATAAGAAAGGATCTTTAATCGGTTTCCACGCAAATCTAAGTGTGTTAAAGACACAGACTTAAATAAATTTGTTGGAAGTAAAGGGATATGGTTATCATTGAGAATCAGCACTCTCAGTTTATTTAAATTTCGAAAGGCCCCACTTTCAATCTTCTTAATTACATTATAGTCTGCTTGTAGATACTCCAAGCTTTCCAGTCCCATAAAAGTGTCATTTCTAAAAATATCAAGTTTGTTTTCGTGCAAGTATAGCCTCTTCAGAACTTTCAACCCATTAAAAGCTCCAGCTTGAATGTCCTGCAATGCATTGTTCCCGAGATTAATCGACACAGCATTGTTCAAGTGAAGGAAGCTGTTGGTGTACAGTTTTCTCATAGAATTTCTCTGAAGATACAGTTTAAATGGTCGAATCCAGGATTCGGAAATCTGACTAATGTTTGTAAATCCTTTATTGTCACAATAAATGTGGAAAAGGCTTTCCTTCACTTCACAATAACAAGGATCAAAGCAAGGCTCGTCTATTTCTTCAGAATCCTCAATCAAGGGAATTGGTGTAGTCCATGCAAGAGCAATTGTGCTTAAAAGAATTATCCACAACATACGTCCATTTAGTTGAGTTTCTGCTGGAGAAGGTTCCATTTTTGATTAATTAAAAAAAAAAAAAAGCTGGAAGACAAAGAAATATAAAACAGATGTCATTATTTAACTATACTATGCATATAAACAGGCTGAGGGCAAAGTAACAATGACAGGAGGACCTCAATTTGTTCATTATTAGTGTACACTACTAGTTTGCATGATCTAGTCTATCAAAGTGTAAATCTGCAATTATGCAATGCCATTTGGCTCAATGCACTGTATTACATAATTGCTACTCAATAAGACCATCTCTGTGCACATAGGCAATGGTTAGAATTGTGTCTTGCTTGTACATAAGTAAGCTTATGTCACAATGGAAATAATTTATGTCTAAAAAATTACCTTGCTCAATGAGTCATACTAAGCTATAATAATAGTACAAGTAACAGCGTTGTGCCTTAACACAGATAATGATCTAGGCTTGTACATACATACTAGATACAGTTGTAGCATATGAGAATAAGAATTACTGCAAAGCATGCATTTTATCCCAGAGTTTATGTCCAATTCTTGCTTGCTATTTCCAGTAAAGCATCCGTGTGCTCGTCGCTTGTGATGCATTAGCATATTCCAGCGTGCAGTTAATTGCAGCGGCTATTGGCCACTTTAAATGCCCATAAATAGATAAAAGAATGTAGAGATAATTAAGCTAGCCACACTGCTTGCCCATATGATCTTCCAATCTGAGGGGAAACTGACAGTAAAATGCAGCTTAGTCTGGGATGATCCATGATTTAAATGCTCTGCCTCCCTGGCTCTGGGACTGAAGCTCTGAAGCTTTAACAGCACAGACCAGATACTGAATGTATCTCCACTGGCAAAAATGCCTATGCATTAACAAAGTGCATAAGTGCCAAAACAGGGTCTGCTAACAGTTTCTAATGACCCATCAAAAATAAAGTAATCTCATCCTCAAATCCTATACCTACCACAAAAAAAAATCAAACCGGTGCAATGACACACATCCTCAGATATGCATTTATGCATTCATTGCTGCAAATAACTACATTCACATCTCTAGATATATAAGCCACCTGCATCATACTGCATTTCCTGTGTGCTTAGAGCATAGTGATGGCAATGCTTACAATGAAACTTAAAATGAGAGCATCCACTCTAGCGAAATACAATAAATGCTAATGCAGCTTTCCTGACACATTAGATAGACGCTAAGCAGTCAAGGTTCTGGATGAGGATGGCATGCCAGTAAATAGATCGCTTGAAATAACGACAGGAGGGGAAAAAAGGGCTGAGGGTTATATTGCAGCAGCCTCAGCCTCAGCAGCAGCAGTCTCATTTGCAAATACATATCTGCAACTTAAATCTAATCTGAGGTCACAGGCAAACCTTTTCCCATAAAAGTACATAGAGACAAGGTGGAATGATTTACTTACCAGTTTGCAGGTGAATTTTTAGCACATCCGGGGGAATAAAGGCTGAGTTTAGGGATTGCTGGCTCTCCCTCTCTCTGTCTTTCTCTTCCTATCTGCTCCTACTGAGTCTGAGGCAAAAAAGAAAAAAAAATGAGCTAGAGACGTGCTGGGAATGTGCAATGTGCAGTGTGCTGTGAGCTGCTCTGTGTTTTCAATGGGTTGCTTCAACATGCAGATCTGCCACTCAGTATGCTCAATGGAGCCAACAAGGAATCTGCAGCCTCTCTGTCCAACATTGCCTGCTGAGGTCTTTCTCATTCGCCCTCTCTTTTTTTTTTGTTTCCCCCCTCTCTATCTTTTTTTTTTCCTTTAGCCCTCCATCCTCCTCCTCCTCCTCCTCCTACAGTCGTAGGCAACAGATCATTGGAAATTTGACACAAATCCAACAATCTTCACACCACTGCTTCAATTGTCTACCTCCTATTTATTCTCTTTCAACCTCTTCTGTGGCTTTGCCCGATTGTTGCCTTCTCTTTTTCTTCCCCAATTCTCCCCCCCATCCTCCCTTGCTGACAGCAGATAATTGGGGGAGTCGATCATAGTCAAGATTCTTCACACCGTTTCTCCCTCTTCTGTCTCTCTGTCTTCACCTGTCTGTGTGCGAGGCTTCACTTACTCCCTCTACCTTCTATTGTGAGTAGAGAGCTTCCCATCACATCTAACAATCTCATTTCCCGGATTACTTACACCTCATTATCTTCCTCTTTCTATATTTTTCTCATCTGAAGCTATCTCTCTGTTTGTGTCTAGATCCATCTTTTTTTTTTATTCTCTCCCCCCTTCCTTAGCATCATGGAAACAAGCTGGAAGAAGCAGATCAAAGCGGAGGGGGAGCGTTTGGGTATATGACGTGAGCATGCATTGGGAAGCCCAGGCATCTTAATTTTTTTTTTGTGGGTGTGTGGGGTATCCCGGGTGATCATCGCTCTTTCATAATACATGTACAGTTTTAAGCAGAACTATGCAGTAGAGGAAGGCATCGGCTCCCCTCAACAAAGCTGTGAGCATTGCTTGCTGCTCAGCCTGTCACTTCAAACTACAGCAAACTACAGCTTAAAAAGCAGAGTGATAAGCCATGAAATCTAAGCTGGAGCAAGT